TTCAGTTCCTTTGTAGTTCCACAACTTTTAGATGATTGATAACCACGTGTTCCTCTGATAACCTGAACGATTTTTTTGTCTCATTTGTCTTAAATGCATGCGAATAAAGTATGCATGTTGAAAATGAACTTAAAGGAAGTTACATTTACAATCATATACGTTCAAAATTCAATTAAGTGGGGGATAAATTGAAACATGAAGGGAAGCTGGACACGGGTTATCCAGAGGGTAAGGACAGCTTTGATAGACAAACACTATGGGAAAAGGTACATAAGTGTAGCAGTATACAGACACCTTTTCATAAAAATAAACAATACATTTAAAATTAAAATTTGCTGTTGTCATTTCATAAAATTTACATTAGCACCACTTTTCTCAAAGTTCATGTAGTTATAAATTCATTTCTCAGAAAAACACTCCAATACCCTAGACTGAGTACCTTCCACAGATGTTCAATACATTTGTATATGAAAAAAAAATATTCTAAATATTAATGATAATATTAATTTCGTACATTTTTAAAAGTCTATTAGAGATATTGTATGCTGGCATATTACATGCAATTATTATTTTGGTGATGCTAAATACCGTATAAGTGGAAATTTTAGCGAGACACAAATTAAGCGATTTATCCTAAAAAGTCGGTACATATTTTTAGCGAGAAGTAATTTTAGCGATTTTATAATCTCAGGAGAGATAGCTGTAACATCCGATACAGAATAAAATGTTAGCGATATTCAATTTTAGCGACCTCAGAACCCTCCCTAATAATGCCAAAATTAAATCCTCGCTAAAATTTCTGCTTATGCGGTATACCTGCATGAAAATCTGAGTTAAAACTTTCTTAAGCAAAAAAATTCGAAGACACTTGTTTAATCATGCACAAGGTGCCGTATAGGTATTTTTAGACTACTTTTGATAAAAATCACTACAATGATCAAATCAATGAAATGCAAAGGTGCTATTAAAGATCATATATTGTCAGTTTTATACTCACATATTGACTGAATTAAGCATATAGTGTATGGCAGGTAGTATATCTATGACTTTTAAAGTAAATATTACCTGGCAAGTACTAACATAGGTACAGTGTTATATATATTAATTTTCAGGTAAATGTAAGGAACATTGATGAAGCTCATCTCTCTGTGATGCTGCCAGCAGTGGACATGTAGACATTGTCAGGATTTTATTATAGCGGGGAGCATATGTTAATCCTCCTCCTCTATTAACTTCTCCTCTGCATGAAGCAACTCTCAGAGGTATACTGCAGTATTTTAAAACTTAAAATTTTAACAAACTTATATGCTCATTAACAGTCACCATTGATAGAAAAGGATTTCGTATCAATTTTAAAAATTAACAATTTATAATAATTTATGAGGATTCTACATATTTACTAAATCTGCAATTTCTTTAAAGGTATTCAATATATGACATTTATTACTGATTTATGTAGATTTTCTGATTATTTGACAACTATGATTTTCTGTTGAATTTCTCAACATATAACATTTTCAATTTTATGTGGACTTCATACATGACTGTCACGTCGGAACTCCTCTTCATGTAGCAGCTTGTCAAGGCAGTCTAACATGTGCCAAAGCTTTGCTACGAGCAGGTCACCAACTTTTTTCACATGCATGTGGGAATTCAGTTTTACCTCCATAATTTTACTTTTATATTAATTAGGAACCTGTTTTACAGTTTATGTTCCAGCTTGTTTTACATTCTTTATTTAGGAGCCTGTGTGAATTCTATTAAGAGCCTTAACACCCCTCTCCATGAGGTGGCCAGGAGACAGGACCTACCCCTTATACTCCTCCTACTGGCTCATGGAGCAAATGTAACAATGAGAAACAACAATGGACTACGGCCTATTGATCTGGTCCAAGCTCTACACACCCTGTTAAACAAGTCCTACTGCAATGGGAATACAAGAATATATGTAGTACCGTGCCTACCAACAAAAGCCTAAACAAGTCCTATAAAGTAGTGGAAATGTAAGTATATATGTAGTACCTACCAACACAAGCCTAAATAAGTCCCATAAAGTAGTGGAAATGTAAGTATATATGTAACACAAAACCTAAACAATTCCTTTTAAAGGTTGTGGGAATGTAAATATTACCAACCAGCTCCTGCAGCAGTAAGAAAGAAATGACACATAGAACTGACTTAAATAAGCTGTAATGAATAGGGAAATTTAGTTTTATTTACTTTACCAAATTTTCCTTATCTGGGAAAGCAAGTTCACATGTGTAATACATATAACTTACCTTCAGAAATATTACTGCAATTTGAGATAATTTTCCATTTTTTGATTTTATTCTGATCTCTTAGTTGGTAATGGAGTTGCTAGACGTCTTTTTAGATCAGTATCAACAGTATTCAAGTTTCAACAATAATGTTGTTTATTTATTTATTGTTGTACAACGTCTCTCGAGAATTTTCAAACATATGGAGACGCCACCACTTGCCGTTGGAGAGCTGCAAAATTTGACCTATACTCGGCACTTAGGGCCATTGAGCAGTGAGGGATCTTTTTTGTGCGACACGGGACCTCGGTTTATACGGTCTATTCCGAAGGACCGGTCTCCTCGTCCTACAGTGGGATTCGAACCCGAATCAACTCCTCACTCCGCGACTCTAGAGCAAACGCCCTAACCACTGTGCTCAACAATAATGTACCGTATTAAAAGATAAAAAGGTATATGTATTGAAATATATATTATTACAGCAATGGCTTAAAGTATGGTCCATGTTAGGTGCAATGGGGAGAAATAAGTCCAAAATAGGACTATTCTAAGTTTACTAATCTCTTCTAAAGGACACAGAATGGAACATGTAGTTAAAGTAGCCCAAATAAGGTTTTAGGAGTTACTCCCCTTGTACTGGCTTAAACTGATTTACTCGGGCATGATACCGAGTATATATTTTTTAGGACCCTGAAATTTTAGTAAAATATAAATATGATTATAACACTAAAATTTTAGGGAAGTATTTTATTACTGGTTTTGATTGTTTTGACTTGTATTAATCTGATCTTTCTTTTATTTAAACAACTGTATCCACGAGTCAGCCGGTAGTTTCTTATCTTAAGATACAAATTAGTGTCATGTATCAACTGAGATTTGATGTTCATTTCAATATTTTCTTTTTGCTTTAAATATTCCGACATTGGAGAATTTTAAGTATTCCTCACTATATTTATTCTTATAATACATTTTCTCTTGAATTATCTATGCATTGCTAAAAAATTAAAATATTCGACTACTTTAGTTTGACTAAACTAAAAACTAAATCATAAAGGCATGGCTTAGGAAAAAAATGTAAATGACAAACTGAATGATCTTGCTGAGGAATTGAGCAAACCAAACACTTATCATTGTAGCATACCTTATTTTTCTTCCAATGTACCGGTGTTAAAATAGTGTAAATTTTAACATTGATAAAAATAAATGTGTTTAGATTAGACATGACCTTCCTAATTACCATGCATTGGTCGTTAACAGCTATTTATCGTGCGGTCTAAAGATACGAAAGCTTTTCTTTCTTTAATTGACATGGCAAGCAGTTTGTAAAACTATTAATTAAGATTTCACTATACATTGAATGACTTTATGGTGGATGACAGAAATAACACAGAAAAGACCTATAACAAATAGCTTCAAGAACCAATAAAAGAAACTAGATTTTTTTCTCACTTTTTATACATTTTAAAGCAATATGAGCTGCAACTTTGATGTCGGCATTTTTGGTGGCAAAATTGTGATTAACAAAAAGAACATATATAAACTTCTGTTGTTCACATTTGCGATAGAAAAACTATTAATAAGCTTTGTTTGAAGCAAAATTACGTTATTGTCGTCCTGTACGAGATAAATTTCTTATATAATACTATGGATTCCATTGTACAGAAATCTTTCTCGAGACTTTCTTATTTTAGACTACATGTAATTGATCATAAAGGTTTAAATTACATACAGATTTATCATAACAGCACATTTTAACAGCAAAATAAAATTCTCAAAAATGCAGCTCATAAAGCTTTAACTATCCGGTGTATTTCTCTAAACACATTTGACTCAAAAGCTACTAATATGAAAGGGAATTGGAATAAATAAGGTTCCAATTTTAGTCACTTTTTTCTTTTCTAGGTGAACCACGTGATTTGAGACACTAATGCTGGTTGCTGATCAGGTGATGTCTGGGAGCCGAGGGACTTAAGTATATACTAGAACTTCCGGTTCCCAAACTACTCCATCAATACCTGGACTTCCAGTGATAAGTCTCCACTGAAATTTTATTTCATTGAAATATATGTTATTTTTGTGTTCTTCGTGTGAGAGGACTGTTATATTTGTTATATTTGAAGAATGAAATAAATTTGTTAAAGCAAAGTTAATTAAGTTTTCAAGTAAATGTTCAAGCAGAGCCCTTATCCTTCCTTTTCATACAAAGAAACTGCTATGAAGGAGAAACTTCAGATGAACTGTGCTACAGTATACCCAAAAAGTGATGTAAATCAAATATGGATTCTTTATACCATATAAACACCCAAGACCTTTAACAAATTTGATTTTTTTTTTTTGCATATGATGCCGCCCAGTTGATTGGATACGAAAGTGCATGTTTTTGTACGTAGAATTTCATAGAAATATTCTGCTTCTTATGAATACAAAAAGCAGGTCTGCTAATAATGGTTCACAAGTAGAACCCACGGAATTTCTAACAGAATACAAAAATTTCCCTTTAAAGACTAGATGCAGTGCTACAGAGTTTAACTACAAACATTATTCAATTTAGACTTTATTAAGTAAACAGGGTGAAACAAGGACCAAACACTTGGCCTTCATGAGTGAGGTCAGTGGCCAAGGTGAGGTCAGATACCAGATGACTTAAGTTGATGGTTATTGCATTTTATCTTTACCAATTGTTATCAGAAAAGCTGCCCAGTTGTTGCTATGTAATATATTTCATGCTACATAAGAAATACATTTGATGACATGTTCATTTATTTTATTGCTTATACACATACAATACATATTTCATGTTATGTTTTTAATTTTTTGCAGTGTAAAAACATTACCTTGAGGTTAATTTGATCAAATATTATTCCTTCACGAGCCATTAACATTTTAGTATTCTTAATAGAGGAAAAATAATAATAGTATAATTGATTTAGCGATTCCATTGACATATTTCCTGTATTCTCATTTCTGTAGCTGTTTGTATATTGTGGACATGATCTTGTCTGAGAGATTGTTGGTATGAGTATAGAGCAGCCTGGAGGTTCCCTGTCAACTGTTGACAGATCCCCAAAATCTGCCAGGATATGTCCCTGTAATCTAAAGGTATAAGCTGTCTGTGATCATAGTGAACCAGGGTCTGTAGATCATCTAGAGCTGTTTGTGCTCTCATTGTGTCTACATGTCTGTAACACAAGATCTCTAGCATGTACATTAGTGTTAAAGATGGGACAATATATGCAGGGAAATGGTTCTGTAGAGCACACTGTTGTTCTGGTATCAATTCATTGATGTAATGGATTTTATTTTCAGGTTCAATATTCCATGCTACAGCCTGTCTCATCTTTGTAGACCATGAATGTCCCCCTACAGCCTCAGTATACATCTCTGTATCTACTTTAAAGTTATACATCACATATGGCTGTGCTAACTTGACCTTGATCATCTCTATAATAGATAAAACTTTAATGTATCTTAGGGTCTTGTAATAATACATGGCTATAAACATCATGTCAGTAATACAACCAAACTTGGCTGCTAAATTCAGCATGTGACAGGAGAATTTGTCAGCTCTATACCTCAATTTGTTTTCTTGTGTGCAAGTCTTCATTTGCAATAAAAGGGCTGCTTTCTGAAGATCAGAAGCTGTAAGTTTCTGTAGCATAAGGACTTGATAGGGTGTCATATTAAGTAAACCCAACGACCGTTCTATTGTATGTAGATACCTCATACACCTTTGTAAGTTCAATTTGTGTAATGTACCAGAACGGTGTATCTCTGAAAAAAGATTAACATCAAAATCAACCTCAGAAATTAGAGTATGCTCATCTGTACAGATGGAGAGTCTGGGGTTATGGAGGCCATTTATAATAGAAGACCTATTGGAGGGACTGTGTAGCAGGAATGCTATACCCTTCTCATACAACCCATACAATCTGATAAATAATTGATTTTGTGCTTCACCGTAAATTTTACTCAGAAACATGTTATTTTCTGGGATGAAGAAATTAGGACAGACCCCCTCATACACCCATTTGAGGATGAGTTGAAACCAGACCCAGAAACATTCCAGGAGATTTTCTGGACACCAGTGAGCTATTGTATTTTGTTGAATCGCCCAGAAAACTGCAGTCTTCAAGTGATAGGAACACAGTAATTTATCATCTTCACCTACATCACTGCTAATTATTTCTGTTAAGAACAATTTAAGTAAGCCATAAGTTAAGAATTGACAGTGGCTCATTGCATACACAAGTTTCTGTTCTGCCAGAGAGAAAGAAATTCTCCATTCATGGTCTTCATGACATCCTACCTTATGTCCGATCGCTACAAAGTGACATCCATTTTTCACTATATCATTTACAATACGAGACTGGGGCCATGAGTGACATCTGTCTATCCATGAGGAGGCAGATGGATGCCAAAAGTCACAAACAAAACTGTGAGCATTATCATAATCGAGTTTTCTAGACGTTCCACTGGAACATAGTCCATGTGGAATAGTATTAGATGGTGATGCGGAACACATGATCTGTCTGTATATAGAACTAGATATGCAATGTTTGTTATTCATTCTAATACAAGCTAGTTGGGCAACTATGTTGATACTTGGCGTCAGTAAATATAGCAAAGTGAATCCTGGTGGACTATCGGAACAGTCATAGAGGATCAGTGTATGTCTGTGTGTGTTGTAATACTGAGACTGAGATAAATTCCAGATCACACGGTGATTATTTAACCAAAACATCATGTCTATATCTGATCCTTCCAGTCTAAATCCTTCTCTGTAACTTCCACTCAACAACACACTGTACTCATCATCACTTGTTTTCACTTGTTTTTCCACCACCTCATTGATGTCCAGCACATCTCTCCTCATGGCCACCAGTTGAGAGGTCCCCACTTTATGACACAGTCCCACAAACACTGACTCTGATATATGCTGCATGGCTGTCTTACTGTTGATGACCAAAGTTTAGTTTAGCATATCTTTTATAGTGTGCCACATCAGTAAATCTATAGAAGTTATCATTCATAAGTTTGTTTATTTCTTACTAAAACAATTTAAATAAATATTTTACATGCAGGGTTCTCCACATCTGAAAATTTAACCATGGAAGAAGCTGTGCAAAAGCGAATCTGATTGAAAGCACAAATGTGTGGTCGACCTTTTATAGCAATGATTAGTGTTATATATCGTTTGTTCTCAACTCATTATTAAAGAAATATATAGAGGAAATATACAAGAGTTTTATTTGCCCTTGTATATATATATATATATATATATATATATATATATATATATATATATATATATATATATATATATATATATATATATATATATACATAATCCTGATTCCACGATTCCTCTGACTGTAACCTTTAGTTTTGTATCAAAATATAAAACAGGGTTAAAAGTGAAGGCAAAATTGTAAACAAAATGAACAGATTCAGAATAAGTGTTGGAATTTTTAGAACTATACACTGATGTCAAGAGAATATCTAATAGAGTCCATGTTTACACGGAAAAACTGAAAAGTGTCGGGTGCTGTAATGAGTACAGAAAAATTCCATTATATTAACTTTCAGTTTAAATTGTATATTAACCGTTTTGTGTTTTCAACTTTCAATTGATTTTTCAAAGATCAAAATGGAAAAAAAATAATAGACAATGTAGATATTTTCAGAGAAAAAATAGTATTGTCAATAAAACTTACATTTGTGAACTTCTAGAGGAGTTCATTTTTACAGGTAGGACTGAAAAGTTTCAGGTGTTATAATAAGGACAACAAGCAAATTGAGAAATTTTTTGTCCCCCGCCTTCGGAGTCTCATTAGTTTTGGTACAAAGATTTATGGCATTTTGTAAGTGTTTTCTCTATCCTTGTTTGTTTATTCACCATGCAATAAAACTTTAATATTTTGTAAGCAATATATTTGGAGCAAAATTACGGTCATATAAATGTCATTATCCACAATATACTTCACTTCCTCTTCATTTAACATTAATTTATGTAGAAAAATGCATGAAAATTTCAGCCAAAATCAACTATAATGACAAGAGTTATATCCCTTTTTATAGTTATTTATGTAGTTTACAATAATGCTTACTCCTCATCTGTTTTTTTTATTTTTACCACATTTATATTGCGCATTCTACAGGTTGTTTACAACCAAAAAGGAAAAAGAAAACCTTTTACAATCAGATGTTAAATGGAAATTGACTGGACTATATATAGAATTCACAATAGGTAGTGGACCGGTGAAACGTTCCCAAAATTTCCTTTGAATACTTAGTCCAAAATTCTAAGCATTCACCTTTACTTTTGAAACATTTGTTTACCATGACTTTTTTTGTCTTAGTCGTTTGCAAGGAAAAAATAAGAATTTCAGAATTTCTAAAACGAGGCAAGCTATTGATAAACAAGTTGATGAAACAAGAATATCCATATGCTCGTTAAAAGTCATCATTTCGCAAAGAACTGCGAACGATAGTACTGTTCTCTAGCCTACCTCCAAGTCAATTTTCAAAAGCTAACACACTTGAATGATTTTTCATAGTTATATAGATATTCATACGAATTTTCAAAAAAATTAGTTCTTTGGGAAAACAAAAAGAGATAACTCTATAATTTTGGCAAAACTTGTGTTTTTCACTATAGAAATCAACGGAAAAACATCCCCCCCCCCCGTGAAACAAAAATTCCTTTTTACAGGTAATATGGCCTTTAATTTCACAAATTCATACCAAAGCTTTTTTGGTTTGACCGGGAGGGGGGGGGGGGGCTTACAACTAAAACATTGTATTTTATTGATAATATATGCTTAATTCTATATGCGTAAAACATAATAAAATATTTAAGGAACATTTATTCATATCCAAGAATATTGGATGTGGTGATGCTTTAAAGCCCAATTTCAATGGAAAATATTGTCTACAGCCCTTATTAAAGAGCTGGAATAAGGGGTAATTAACTTTTTAACACTAGTATTAAAATTATCAATTTCCATTAAATTGTTTTTTGCATTCAACAAAGATATTTTACGGCCAAATTGCCATTAGTATTGAATTAAATGGGTTTAAAATGTAGGCGGGAGTTGAGAGTTAGCGTGTGTAGTTCTTCTATGGTCGATACATTGTTAACAAGTACAGTGTAATTTAAAGACGAATTCTGACTGAAGTTCTTCATACCAATTTAAACAATTATTTACACACTGAATTGTCTACAGATTTCTCCCTTTGTCCAATAATGACAAGGCGAACACGGCCGGTGTGACCGGTCGACAGGGGATTCTTACACAATGGCACCTGATCCCTACCGAAACAACTCTTACTACAGTGGGAATGTAAGTGTTTAAAATCAACATAACTCTTATAACAGTGGGAATGTAAGTATAATCTACCAACACAACTCCTACTACAGTGGGAATGTAAGTTTTATCTACCAATACAAACCTTACTACAGTGGGAATGTAAGTATTATCTACCAACACAAGTCTCACTACATTGCGAATGTATAATCTACCAACACAACTCTTACTACAGTGGGAATGTATTATCTACCAAAACAACTCTTACTACAGTTGGAATGTATTATCTAACAACACAACTCTTACTGCAGTGGGAATGTAAGTATTATCTACCAGCAAAACTCTTACTACAGAGGGAATGTAAGTATTATCTACCAATACAACTCTTACTACAGTGGGAATGTAAGTATTATCTACCAACACAACTCCTTCTACAGTGGGAATGTAAGTTTAATCTACCAACACAACTCTTACTACAGTGGGAATGTAAGTATTTTCTACCAACACAACTCCTACTACAGTGGGAATGTAAGTTTTATTAACCAATACAACCCTTACTACAGTAGGAATGTAAGTATTATCTACCAACACAACTCTCACTACAGTGGGAATGTATAATCTACCAACACAACTCTTACTACAGTGGGAATGTACTACCAACACAACTCTTACTACGGATGGAATGTATTATCTAACAGCACAACTCTTACTGCAGTGGGAATGTAAGTATTATCTACCAACACAACTCCTACTACAGTGGGAATGTAAGTATTATCTACCAACACAACTCTTATTACAGTGGGAATGTAAGTATTACCTACCAACACTACTCCTACTACAGTGGGAATGTAAGTTTTATTTACCAATACAACCCTTACTACAGTGGGAATGTGAGTATTATCTACCAATACAACTCTTACTACAGTGGGAATGTAAGTATTATCTACCAACACAACTCCTACTACAGTGGGAATGTAAGTATTATCTACCAACACAACTTTTACTACAGTATCACAATAAGCTTAAAGAAGACTCAAAGCAGTGGGAATGTAAGTACATGTTTTATCAACCAACATAAATCTTACAGCAGTGGGAAAGTAATTATAACAGAAACAATCCATACACAGAGAAGATCATTAATGCCTAAATGGCACCTGTTGTATATACGTTGTTATAAATGTACCGGATACCAGATTTTTATTTGAGTTTTTAGTTGTACATGTAGTTAATTTTGGGGTTGCTTTTTAGCTCTACTGTTCAGAGACCAGATAAGTTTATGCAACAGGAAGGTGTCCGTCGTACGTCCGTCTGTCTAGCTGTCTGTAAACATTTTTTTTTCAAAATGCTGCTCCTCCTACAGTTTTAGTCTGATTTTAATATAACTTGGCACATAAGTAGACTACACTTAGGTACATAATTCTGTGTCAATTTTTGATTTTTATGAACGGTATTGCTATGGTTACTGAAAATAGAAATTTCTGTGAAATACTTTCAAAATGCTACTCCTTCTACAGTTTTTTATCAGATTTCAATATTACTTGGCACAAAGTAGACTACACTTAGATACATAATTCTGTTTATCGGTTGTTGATTTTGATGAACGGTGTTGCAATGGTTATTTAAAAGTAGAAATTTCTGTGAAATACTTTCAAAACGCTACTCCTCCTACAGTTTTTATCATATTTCAATATCACTTGACAAAATGTAGACTACACTAATACATACTTCTGTGTATTGGTTTTTGATTTCAATGAATGGTGGTGCCATGGTTACTAAAAATAGAAATTTCTGAGAAATACTTTCAAAACGCTACTCCTCCTACAGTTTTTGTCGGATTTCAATATTTCTTGGCACACAAGTAGAGTACAGTACGATATAATTCTGTGTACTAGATTTTGTTTTTGGTGAACGGTGGATGGCTACTAAATATAGAAATTTCTGTGAAATAATTTCAAAACGCTTCTCCTCCTACAGTTTTCGCCTGATTTCCATATAAGTTGGCATACAAGTAGAATACACTAAGACACATAATTCTGTAGATCGGTTTTTGATTTCGATGAACGGTGTTGCCATGGTTACTAAAAAATAGAAATTTTTGTGAAAAACTTTCAAAATGCTACTCCTCCTACAGTTTTAGTTAGATTTCAGTATAACCTGGCACAAAAGTAGGCTACATTAAGATACATAATTCTGTTTATCGGTTTTTGATTTTGATGAACGGTGTTGCCATGATTACTAAAAATAGAAATTTCTGTAAAATTCTTTTAAAAGGCTACTCCTCCTACAGTTTTAATCTGATTGCAATCTTGCCATGAAAGGAGACTACACCAAGGACCATTATTCTATTTATTGCTGTTGCAAAGTTTCAAGTCCAACTACTACTTTTCTCTTCCTTTGTTATAAGTAGAAACCATTAGAGCTACAATCTCGACAGAGACTTCTGATTTAAAAAAATTACTATTATTATAATTATTATTATATCTTTTCTAGTTTCGGCAAGAATGTTAATATAAAAAGATGAAAAGCTATGTTTTTGTTTAAAATGCAGATTGCTTCAAGCAGAGCCTAGTTGTTATAATACCAAACTAGAACTATCATAGCAGGACTTCCTCTTCTGTCGAGTAAAATAATTTTATGTTGCTGTCTTATGGTTTAA